TCTCTGACTCTCTCTCTTGCTGTTGGTTTTCTTTGCTCTTTTAAGAAGTAGAGTGTTCTTTTGATTGTCTGATCAGATGACTGCAACATTTTAATTTCTTCTTTCTGGTAAGATGGAAACGATGTATTCGATGTCGTGACTTCGGCTACTGTTGCTCTGCTCATTGCTTCTACTTGAAGCTCTCTTGGTAACTTAGACGTGTTAAGGTGGATTTCATTTGCATCATAGATCTCATCTTCATCTGCTTCTTGGCTGTTGGTATCGGRTCCTGTATATCTGGACAATGCATCTGCTGCTTGGTTGCTCTTTCCACTACGGTAKTTGATGTCAAAGTCGAATAAGGCAAGTTGTGAGGCCCATCTTTGCTCAACTGCTCCTAGCTTGGCTGTTCTTAGATGGCTCAAGGGGTTGTTGTCCGTCAGAATCGTAAATGTAGAACCAAGTAGATAATTCTTGAACTTCTCCGTGACGGCCCATTTCAAGGCTAACAACTCCAGTTTCATGGAACTATAGTTTCTTTCGTTCTTTTCTGTTGGTCGTAAGCGTCTGCTGGCATAGCTAATGACAACCTTTCTGTCTTCCTGTTCCTGGTATAGGATAGCACCAAGTCCTGCAAGACTTGCATCGGTCTCGAGTATAAACGGCTTAGTGTAGTCGGGGTATCCTAACAACGGTGATGTAGTCAGTTTTTCCTTCAGAGTGTCAAATGCATCTTGGTGACGTGAGGTCCATCTTGATTCCAATGAGACGTTAGAATGTTTCTTAGACGGGGCCAACTCGTTCAGACAACTGTTAAGWAGGTCATGTAGAGGTCCTGCGATTTGAGCAAACTTCTCGATGAACTTCCTGTAGTATGACGCGAATCCAAGGAACGAGGGTAACTCTTTCAGTGTTTTAGGAACGTCCCAGTTGGCAACTGCTTCAATCTTGTCAGGGTCTGGAGCTATTCCATCAGCTGATACTTCGTGACCAAGGTAGGTAACTTTCGTTTGTAGGAACTTACATTTTGTTGGTTTCAACTTTAGACCATACTTTTCAACTCTTTCTAATACGGCTTCGATCCTTTTTARATGTTCTTCGAATGTCTGTGAGTAGATAATGACATCRTCAAGATACACAAGTAAGATATTAAACATGAAATMATTCATGCAGTTCTGCATCATACGTTGGAARGTAGCGGGCGCATTAGTTAAACCAAATGGCATCCTATTGTACTCGTAAAGACCAAAAGGAGTAGTGAATGCGGTTTTGTGCTTGTCCCTTTCATCCATGGCGATTTGATTAAACCCACTGGCTAAATCGACTAGTGAGAAGTACTTTGCTCCTTGGAGGGCATCAAGCGACTCTTCTATTCTTGGTAACGGATAAGCATCACGTACGGTTTTGGCATTCAATTGACGGTAGTCGACACAAAGTCTTAACTCACCATTTTTCTTCCTTACCAGTACAATCGGTGACGCATACGGACTRTGACTTTCACGTATTACTTCACGGCTTAGTAACTTCTGGATGTGTTCTTTGACTTCTGTCAGCTGGTTTGGTGGTATCCTCCTGAAAGGGAGATTAACTGGAACATCATTGTTAGTGTAAATTCTATGAGTAATACTGTCAGTATATCCTACGTCATCATCATGTATAGCAAAAGCACTTGCATGCTTAGTTAGTAACGCTCTTAGTTGTTCTTTTTGTAGTAAGCTGCATTCAAGGTTGTCTAAATCAACAGGGCAAGCAGCATCGTCTAGTGGAGTGTTCTCTTGGACTTTGGTTATTTCAATGTGATCAACGTCAACTTGGKTAAAAGTGATATCATCTGGTTGCTCTTCTGCAAGATGTACAGTTCCTACTCGGGTTCTTGGTTGTAACCAGACATCATCTACATTCAAGTTTGCCATTCTTACGTACGCACCTCCATTCTTGTCCATATTTGGGCGGTACTTTATTAAACAAGGGCCAATCAAAGAAATGATGGAACGAAATAACAAGCAACCAACAGTTTCAGTTAATTGCTATATCCTGCAGCTGGTACACGGCAAATAAAAACACTGATCTTACAAGAAAATAATCGGAGCTAATTTGTCTATTGACATGTATTGAAAGCTTTAGTGTCATTTATGCTTCTTTATGGTCAGTAAGTAGAAAGCATTTTAAAATCCCCTCAAAATAATAAGTGATGCAAGTGGTTTGCCTTTTTTAAATGCTTTTCCAATCTCGTACCCCGAGCCTTCGTTCTCTTGGCCAGCACCGAAAACGTAAGAAGTCTAATGTTTGTCGACGGCGCTGGCCAAGAAAAACGAAGGCTCGGGGTACGAGAGATTGTTGCTTTTCGCAAAGCCGGATTTACAGATTTTTTGTCACTGTCTGTCAATGGAAAAGGTCATCAAAGTTCCAAAGCCACTAGATAGATTCTTTTAACGTGTTCTTGGATATCATAAATTGTTTTTAAACTATGTTTTATCACGAAGAAAATGTTTCTTTGAGGTGCAACATTTAAGGCCCTCATTATAGAAAATGATCATACAATAGCAGATTTGCAAAGCTATATATCTCAGTTGCAAAATGTCAGCTAGCTTAGAGAGTATTCAATTGGCACATGATGTGTAAGATATGTTTTTGATACATTGCTAAGAGTGTCCTTGCTGTTTCCATGTCATTAGTTAGTAAGACTTAAAGGTACAAAGGACACGACAGACTCAGCAATACCAGCAAGGTATTGAGCGAAAGGCCTTATCTGAGTCCTTTAAAAGTCGCACTTAATAGTCTTAAATGATACCATACTTCGTTTGATATTTTCTTAAGTCCCCTTAAGGACCAGAGGAGGCCTAATGAAGTATTCGTTACTAGAAGTTTCTCAACTTGCTTGCTTGTACTCTCTTCTAGTTTCCAGCCAGGTGGACGGTTTTCTCACTTTGTACTTTAATGTCGCACCTTTTCAGTTTCCCTACTTTTATTTAATCATCTATCAGATTCGTCTTTAAGTATACACACAGTTTCTTGTTTTCACAGCAATCATCTTTATATCAACACTTGTGTAGGAAGTGGTTTCATGTTTGTTTTCTCTTTTAGATGTTCATGATAAAGATTTGTTTGGTTCTTGTGATGGTCGTGGCCATCAATGCAGCAACCATGCAGGACTGTGAACGGAAAGTTTTACAGGATCGCGTCATAAAAAATTACATAGATCAAGTCAGTAGAAGCTGGACTTTCTGCAAAGAGTTAAAGGTGAAGGATTACTGTTGATACTAGCATGTTCCTTGCTAACTGTATAATCATACAACAAAATACTCCTTTGTTTAGAAAATTTCTACGTTTCTTTGTATTCTTTTAGTTCGTTCGCGATGGATTGTTGAACTCTCCTTCTTGTCTGGGAGAGATTATCACTGCTCAGCGATTATGGCTCCTTCAGTTCATCTACCTGGATAACACGTTGTCGCCAATATGCGGCGAGCCAGTTGCCACCGATGCCTTGAAGAAACTGGTGAAACACTCCCCTTCTTGTAAGTATGAACTCCATCATTTTCCTTGGTAAAAACATGAACTATTCAAAGCGATTCTCATTTTTTTCTGTTTTTATATTTTCAAGTTGAACTATTGAAGGAGTTTCCATCGCTTGGTAAGGTTTGAAATACGCATTTTTTTGAAATGTCATGATATAAAGGCTAGTACTATTATTTTGACAGTGAAGTTCACATGAAAACAATCGCTTCCAAATACTCATAAAGAGATAGTCGTTTAGTTTAATAATTACATACAATATTTTCATCCATTCCATAGAACATGACCATTCCCACGCCTGTGCCAAAGAAGTACACGTCGAGTGCCGCACACATTACCTCGCAGACGCGAAGAAAGAAAATTTTTGTCAAGCCCTTGAGGCGTTTGATCGCTGCTACGAAAAAGGAGCAAAACGATGCAAAGCAAAAATAATACAAGATTATTATGTTATTGTGAGAGATGTATCAGAAAACCTGTTGTCTGTTTACAGGAAAGAGATACTGATGTGTGCAAATAATTAATCTAGAACTAATGATGGGGTTTATGGAACGTTCTTTAGCGTTTCGAGAATACAATAAACAAAACTACTCATTCAATACCGTGTTTTGGACATTATTTGAGTTATTTGTGCATTAGCATACAATGTCTAGTGTGATTGAATTGCGTGCTTTCATTATTATTTGCACGTTAACGAACGAAAGATTGGAGCCATGTTAAAGGAAGAGTCCTTATTAACGGCTGTCCCTATTTGGCGGGGTTCTATATACAAAAGCCGAAAACACGTTTTCAACTATTTTATACTGTAATACTAAATTTTACAACAATTGTGTGAAGTCTGATTGGTTGATTAGAGTGTGTCAATAAGAGGCTGACTCTTACCCAATCCTTCTCTCCTATTTCGCGCGCGAAAGGCATCAAGAGAAGGAGGAAAGAAGAGAAAGATCGTCTCCCTCTCTTCTGTTTTTTGAAACACTAGAAAAAAGGGTGCGAGCCGAGAGACGACTGGAGACGAGTCAGAGTAAGAGGACGTAGGCATGTGCTGACTAAACACCTCTATCCCGCGTTAAAAGAAAAGACTGAGTTTCACACTACAAAACCTGTATTAAAGTTACAAAGGAGGAGTCTATATGAAATTGGTGCACTATTACAACGACATAAGCCACGTGAGGGTATCGTAGGTTATAAAGTGGAAGCTGAAATGGGATGGTTCGTCATAATATGATAAACGTCGCTTAGCTCATAGTTTTTCTGTGGTGCAACCTGCAAATGTTTTTTTAGTTGTACTTTTAAGTCGACACTGCCGTGACCTGTTTCATGTTTAAGCGTTTTTTAGAAAGATTTGGTTCTTAAGATCGATGTCAGTTGCCATCAACGCGGTAACCGGTCATGCACAAACCCATATGTAAACATGTTTACAAATCGCATATAATCGCTATAAACAAATAAGTAAATACTTAAGCATTTCTCATTTAGTACTAATTGGGAAAGTGCCTTCATTATTTACTAAAGCAAGAAAAGGTTAGAGAATACCGTAGAAAAAGTCGGCATCACCCCGTCCAATCGCCATCGTATCTTTTGATGATTATATATTGTATGATTAAATTGTAAACTAGTAAGAAAGTTAAGGATCATATATGAAAAGTTGAACTTATTGAAACATGCGGAAAGGGCAAATTTTTAATGGATGTTCTTGTTGTCGTGGTATCACACCCTAGTTTTTCAAAACATCATTTGATTAATATTGATCTACAATAAACCTGCTTTCAAAAATGTTCATAGATAGCATTTTATTTTTAACATTTTAGAGACTAAGAAATTCTCAGTTAACAGTTATTATTTTAGCCGTTTCTCAGTTAACAGTTAACCCCATTCAGACCCCTGTTTACTACCCAGCAAACACTTTTCGATAATGCCTTAGAATCCCGAAACGGAAGCATGAGCGAAGGAGAATGTAAACTGACGCATGTATTAATGTTTTATTCTTACATGTGAGGTATTTATATATGTTGCTTTAAAACTATATGATAAATATGATATTTGTATGTTTGTCACTATACAAAATAAGACTCTTGCTACGGCCTCTCTTCTTAGTTCGAAAATAATATTTATGTTTTAGMAATAATATCCTTATGTCTTGCTCTTGAGATAAAAATAAATGAAACTAGAAAGTGGCAAAAGCCAAGACAAACCTTAAAGGGTGCG